GGGTCAGGATTTCTGCCCTGCAGGGTCCCTCACCCCCCCCCCCACACACAAAAGAGTGTCTTTGAAGTCCCCCTCTCCCCTAAAAGAACAGAAATAAAGCTAAAAAGAATCACATATGAGCAGAACAGTTTTGAAAGTTACATGTTGAATTTGTTATATTCTTTAAAAGAACTTCATACTAGAAATTTGACATTTTCTGTTTAATCATTCTTTTTCTCTAGTTGCAAATGTTTACTTGATGTTAAGTTCAGGATTTAAAAAAAAGTAAATTCCATAAAATAAAAATAAACCAAAATTAGTTTATAATAATAAAAATGGCTCAGATTTTTATGACTCCTTAGGGCCTTGCAAAGCACTTTGCTCACAATTCTTTGATGTAGGTACAGTGGAAATATTATCATGTCTTTTTTGTTTGTTTTTATTTTAAATAATATTTTATTTTTTATAATTACATGTAAAGACAATCCTTAACATTCTTTTTGCTTTTTTGCTTTTTGGTGAGGCAGTCAGAGTTAAGTGACTTGCCCAGGGTCACACAGCTAGTAACTGTCAAGTGTCTGAGGCCAGATTTGAACTCAGGTCCTCCTGACTCCAAGGCCAGAGCTCTATCCACTGTGCCACTTAGGTGCCCTGACATTCTTTTTTTAAAATAAAATTTTCAATTCCAAATTTTCTCCCTCACCTCTCTTCTCTTTAAAATGGTAAGCAATTTGATATAGGTTATGTATGTACAGTCATGGAAAACATATTTCCATGTTTGTTATATCATATCCTTTTTAGAAAGTAAAGGGAAACTCAAGTCCTGGGGAGTTAAGTGACTTGCCTCTGATCCCATTACTGAGGTGGTCTTCAAACCCACTTCTTCTGACTCTAATGCTAACATTTTCCTTCCATATATCATGTTGTCTATTTATAAACTAAAGGTTTAAAATTTTTTTAAAAATTATTTTTGTTGGATTTTTTCTACTATGTCGAGAGTACTTCTGTTTCAAGAGTCAGAGAATCTGGACATGAAGTGATCCCAGGAGGACTGATTCTGAAGTAGACATCTTGAACTGCTTATATTTAGGGTTTCATAACTGGGGGCAGGGTGAAGAGTCAGAAAAAAATGAACTAGAACTCACCTTTTCTGTCTGCATAGTACTGTTGGGTGTTATATTGGTGACCAGATATGGCTTACTGAAATCTCAGCTGAATTGAACTGATTACCCATTGTGTGCACAGTATTATGGAAGATAAAGAAAATGAAAAACCAAGGTTCTTAACCTCAACAAATGGACAACCCATTAAGGAAAATGAGAAAAGAAAGCAAAATAACACTATGATGGTATATAATAAGTACTAAAATTATGCAAAGTGCTGTAGCTGTGTTATACGGATTTAGATTCTTGTGTACTTTGTTTCTGCTCTGTATATGGAAATGCCTCTTTTATTTGATGTTAAGTTTAGAATGTCTAAATTAAAAGCAAAGTGTCATAGAAATTTTCAAAAGGCAGAGAGCTTTTTTAATTGGGGTGATTATGGAGAAAATGGCAGTTGAACTGGGCATCAACTGATGGTTGTCAAAATGTTATATCTTCATTTCTCCTTTAGTCATCTCATAAGTTCCCATGTGACAGAATAATGGAGCCATTGACATATTCTTCCTGACAGCACCAGGACTAGGCAAAACCCTGGTCATTGTAGATAAAAACAGATGCAGAAGCTAAAAATTTTTCTGGTATTTATGGTTAATGCCATTTTAATTTTATCTCAGGCTTCATGAGATCCATTGATGTAAGTTTTCTGTACAGTGATATAGATTTTATCTCATTCATGCCTGCCTATCCTGTCCAACTCATTGGAGTCTTTACATGTTGTCTCTACTCCTGACATTGGTGGATGCCAGTGAAGCACACAGGCTGTCCATTGCATTATCCCTCACTCTCACTTATCTTTTTTTTCTTCATATCTTTCTCTGATGTTACTTTATACCTTTATACCACTTGTGCGTAATTACATCTTCACACACCACATAGACTTTCCATTTTTCTTTGTGTGATCTTCATTTTAAGTTCTTCAGGGATTTTAGTGTTCCATGATTCTAAACCATATAACATAAGCAGAAAAATATTGCTGTTAAAAAAGATGGACTTTTATTTCAGAGGAAAGCTTGGGATAATTAAAAGAACTGTATAGTTTGCTGAAGGTAATCTAGCTCATTCTCATCCTCATTTCTGGGCTCAGCTGAATAACCATTTGTCATTTCTGTACAATAATAGACCAATTCTAATATATGTTCCATACAACTGACCATCTAGTCTAAACAGTAAATATTATTCTTTCACTTGGTTTAAAACCTATCTGTATAGTTAGACTTGAATTTTTAGAGGATTATGATCTCTTGTAGGAAGCTCTGCACATCATAACTTGATATGCAGCAGAATGTTAAACAGAAACAGTAACAGCTGGAGGACCTCACTTTGTAGCAAGAATTCTTAATTTTTTAATCTCATTGACTCCTTTGGTAGTATAGTGAAGCTTATATGTGGATCCCTTCTTGGGATTTAAAAAAAAAATCATAATAGAAGGAAATGCTAAATTTCACTAAGAGATTTTGAAAATAGAATGTATTTTTAAAATGTTATTGCATCTTTAGAGTTCTATTGTTTTCATAAAAATGGGAGTTGTGTTACCTGTTGGGATTATCATTTTGTTTTACCAAGTTAAAATTAATAATCAAATAGCACAAGGAATTTTGTATTCTGTACACCTTTTAGGATGTGGGATTGTAAAAGCAATCTACTGTTGCATGTCATTTGTGGAAGTGTGCCCATTCCCTTTTCATACGTTCATCAATTATGTTGTCCATGTCTGTGAACATTATTTTTGTAAACATTTTTAGAGATTGAAAAGGAGGGAAGTTGATTGAGTAGTTCCAGACATTTTCTAGGTTTCCTTTTCCTTTTATTTTCTTTCCTTCCTTCCTTTCCTCTTTTCTTTCCTTCCTTCCACCTTTCTTATTTCTTTCTATCCTGCTTCCCTCTCTCCTCCCTCTCTCCGTTCCTTCTTTCCTCTTTTCTCCATCCTTCTTCCTCCCATTTTTAATGTGGTAATGAAGGTGTCCCATTGTGGACTTTTTCTATCTATAATTAATGTATTCCAGTTGCTTTTCTTTGTTTTCGTTAGTGCCATTTTCACCCCTTAAGTACATCCAGGACTATGATGTTTTAGGCCATGTGTAGTGGCTTCAGTCTTCTGAATGATGAAAAGATTTTCTTAAATAAACATTTATAGATCTTTTCCACTTTCCATCTGTTTGTTATCTTTAAGTGTATCTTTAAATGCCCTCAAATTGACTTGCTTAATTAGATCTCTCCCCAGACTTTCTTCAGATTTGTTTTTCTCTCCATTGTTTCTCACTATTTTACCAAATGATGTTGCTCATAATTTTCTACCATCCTCCATAAGATTTTTTTGGTGAGTTTATTTTTTAAACAGATGTTGCTCTTGGCTGTATTATTTCTTTTTTTGTCAAGAAGGTCTGGTGGCCAAGACAATTTCTAGAATCTTTGTTTCTTTGTTATAGCAGTTGACATGTATCATTTAGACTTCTTTAGGAAATGGTCATAAACTATGATGATGTCTGTTCACCCATTTCCTTATTTTGATATCAGCAAATTGTTTGAATAGGTCAGGTTAGACTTTTTTAAATGTGCCTAATTTTTTTCCATTTTCTTTCAGTTTTTTGTGTTAACTTTGATTTTTGCTTTAGCAAATTGGTATAAGCAGAAAGGTAATTAGACCATGACTCTCATGCAAGTAATGAGTCATTTCCTGTCTGCTAAAATAAAATTACTTTAATTTTTGTAAGGTTATTTGGGATTCGCACTCTCCATTACCTTTCTTTTCTTCTTAAAAAACTTTATCTTAAATTTTTAAAAGAAAATATTAATTCCTTATTATCAATATGGTGCTTCTGTATGGTCTACAAGTCTTTGGGCTTTCTCATTTCTTGTTCCAGAACTATTTTCTCACATTTTTTACCATCTTTCCATATATCTACCTTTACATTACAGTCACTGAATATCAAAGTACATGTTACTTGAACTTGGATTATCTTATCTAGTTCTCCATAGAAATTCTCTTACTTCCTCATTCTCTAGAGTAGATATGGATAAATAAACTAATTATTTTCATGATGGTCTTTTTTCAGATACTTACCATGAATACTGCAATATGAGGTGGTCAAAAGAGTTTTGAAATTTTGTTTCTTGTTACCTTTTAACACATAATAAAACTAACTTCTCAGATCTCTTTCTTCCCTCTCCAAGAATAATCTGTATACCATCATCCCATTTAGCTGCAGCTTCATCCTGGTTTCATTTATAGAAAGAATATCAGTTTTTATAAGATTTGATTTCTCTAGTTATATGCTCACTGGTTGGTTGGTTATTGGTCAAGGATCTCATATTTATAGTACCAACAGCTAAGTTGATGTTTAAAGATGAATTAAGAATGATATGATTCTTTACATTGTTTGCCCTCTTTTCTGACACTACACTAGTCACTGCAGGAACAGAAAGGGGCTGCACAAGTCTTAAGAATCATTTTGTATTTTTTTTCTTTCTTTTTCTTCATGGGTTGTCATGATTAAAGATATTCATCACCAAGTGGACAGGATAGTTAGTGGTCATGAGCTTTTCCGTGCTTAGATGTGTCCTCAGAAAGCTGATGAGACTGAACTAGACTTGGCAGTTCACATACTAATGGCTAGTTGAGAAGGTGAAACATTTAATAGCTTTTGCAAAAAGAAGATTGCTTAGGATAGCTCAAATTGTTGAATATGTTTTGTTAGAAATATGTATTCCTTTTTAAAAAAAATTTTTGTATTCATCATCCAGAATTTCTAAAGTTTAAAAAAAGTGCTGCTTTTTAATGAAATAGTTTGAACAGTATAGTATTTAGAATATTTTTCTAGTATGAAACCACACTAGCCATTTTATTTATGTGTGTTCAAGTTGGGAACAGAGAGTGGACCAGCATGGACGAGTCTACTATGTAGATCATGTTGAAAAAAGAACATCGTGGGATAGACCAGAACCTCTTCCTCCTGGGTGAGTCTGAAATAATGGAAAACTTTGCAGAATTGTTCAGAGACAGGAATTTAAATATTTTCAGGTCTACCTACGTTGCTGTTTGTTCTGGTTTCTGGTCATTTCTGTCTGTCTCCACAAAGTTTGGAACATTACAAGAGGGAGGCAGGAATCTGATGAATGGTTTTCATTTGTTTGATCTGTGACTAAGAGGTTGCTTAGATCTTGTGCTTCTATGATGGCATATTTCATTTGTATCAACTGTTTACTGAACTCTAAACCTTACCTTACTCTACCTTGCTCTCTTGGATTTATTATTAGTGATCACATAATGTCTATGTTTCAGGCTTTTACATAAAAAAAAAAATAAGTATTTCCTTGACTGAACCAGATATAAATGCTTTTGTAAGCTTGTTTAAGAATGGGTCTCTGTGGACTCTTAAGTAGTAAGGCCTGCATGCCAAATGTTTTCTTTAATAGTTTAACAGAACCAACATTTTCAGTGGTAATGGTTCTGTATACATCATAATTAGCACTTCCTCAACAAAAAGTTTAGGGATTCCAGTTCTGTGGCCTAAATGATATTCAGGTACATGTTTATCCTAGTAGCTCCACAACACTGACATTAATTTTGGGAGTTTTGCTCATTAGCTGGGAACGTCGAGTTGACAACATAGGACGTGTTTATTATGTTGATCACTTCACAAGAACTACCACCTGGCAGCGGCCAACTTTGGAGTCAGTTAGAAACTATGAGCAGTGGCAACTACAACGAAGTCAACTCCAAGGAGCAATGCAGCAGTTTAACCAGAGATTCATTTATGGGGTGAGCAGTAGTCTTTGTGCTACAGACCAATAAAATATCTCTCATGGCCCCTTTCCCTGCATGTGTCAAAGTGATTGTAGAAAGTTCTGAGAGAAAAGCACATAAAAATAGTGACAAAGTAAGTTCATAGGCAAGATCATAAGTCAGTGTTTTTAATTGGTGGATATATATTTTAGACTTTTGTTTGGCATATCCTAGATATAAACATAAGTGATATGTTTTTCCCTCTGTATGTCACTTCCTATGTCTAGTCCTGTCTTCATTGGTTGTATAGAAAATAGACTAATGGATTTAGAACAATAGTAGACTCAGGTGATATTATTGATTCATTTTACTGATTTGCTTCCCTTCCATCCTCCTTTAATTTTTTATTCTTTGTTATAAGGGATGGCTCTCTGGGGAGGAAAAGGAGGAACGATATTTTTGGAATTGAAGATAATATAAAAACAAGAGTAAAAAAATTTTCTTTAATTAAAAAGAAATTGGCCCAAAATGTTAGGACAGATTTGTTATTTAAAAAAACAAAAACCCAGAATCAGTACAACCAAACTGGGGGAAAATAATTAAGTAATTCTTAATCTAGAGCAGCCTTGTTTTGTTTTAATTTGAGTAAGGGAAAACTTTAGCCCAAAATATCTACCACTAAGTTACTATCATGGATCTCTTGATAAAAATCTTAAGTATTTTTTGCAGAGGGTAAGCTATTTGGAGCTCCAGTGGGTTGAAAGAATCTGGGAAGCTGTCTAGGAATGATGTTAAAGAACAGTACCCTAAGAACTAGCATGGTATAGTAGAGAGAAAGGCAGCCTTATAGTCAGGGAGACCTAGGTTGCAAATCTCATCTTCACTATATTCTGGCTGTGTCACCATGGTCACTTAGCATCTTAGTGTGCCCCAAGACAACCTTCTAAGGCCATGAGATGAAGAATAGTTGCCATTGGGAGGGTTTCATCGGAGGGATTCCCTTATATTGATAAAATCTCAGATCTGGACAAAAAAAATTACATCTCAGTTTCAGAAATTTATTTCCCTTCTTTGGTAAAGAGTCTTTGTTTTTTGAAAACAAAGGGCTTATATTTAATTTTAGTCCCGTGGCAGTGAGGTGGCATAACTGATAAATGTACCAAAATAGGTAAATGTTTATTGTATTATCTTTAGAGACTATTGGTGCCAGGAGATTAAAAACTTAGCAAAATGTAAGTTCCAATGGATCATAGATCTTTAAACCCCTGTATCTAAGCCAGAAGGAAACAATCCATAAAAATGTGAGAGAAGTTTTCTTTCCATTTCATGGTACCTGCTCAGTAAGCGTATATTGTATACCCACCATGTGCCAGGCACTGTGCTATATTCTCAGGATGAAAGATTCCCTGCTTTTAAGATATTGACATTGTATTGTAGAAAATACATGTACATATGGAATTATATATAGAAAAAAACACAAAATACAAAGTAATCAGGGACTGAGGGCTCTAGCTGTTGGATGGGGATCGGATCAGGAAAGCCTTCATGTAAATAAAAGTGCTTGAGCTGAGAGTCTTGAAGGAAATAAGGGATTCTAAGAAGAGAAGTTGAGAGATCCTAGCTCCTCCTGTGCTTCTGCTCTCATGTTATCTTCTTTTTTCAGTGACCATTCTTTTGAACACAGCTTTCAAATTGTAACATTAATTTTATAATTGAGTGTTAAATATTTAAGAAAAATTATAGGCAAGAATGAGAATAAGAAAATTTATTACTGTTAAGTTTAATATATGTATAATGCTTTGTCACATTTGTATATTTTTTTTTATCCTTTACAATATAAAGTCCTAGTGGGCTTCATAGGTTTCAGCAGATCTGTGAACATATTTTCTAATGAGTATTGTTCTTAAAATTTCTAAAAAGATACATGTTAGTATTTGAGTTATTAATATATCCTTTCATTTTTATGTAGAATCAAGATTTGTTTGCTTCATCTCAGAATAAAGAATTTGATCCTCTTGGACCTCTGCCACCAGGATGGGGTAAGTACAATTCAAATTGTGTTTCAGTTAGAGAAAAGCAGACTTTGAAAAAAATGATTTTGCCAACTCTTCATGGCTTTGCTTTAATAAAATTTAAAATATAGCCTAGTATCCCTAATTCAATTCAATAGACATTTATTAAATGTCTTTTAGTGCAGAGCAATATATTAAATACTGAAAGAAATACTAAATTGAGATGACACAGGCCCTTCCCTGAAAGAGCTTACTAATTAGGATTATTGAACACATACACTTAAAGCTATAACACAAAGCAATTCATAAATGCTTTTTTTTTTTTGGCCTGGATTTGTGATTTTGTTGATGTAAGGAATTCACTCTACTATTGCAAATCGGTATCTGCTTTACAACTTAACAGTCTAAGAAAGTTGCTTGGTCATTGACAGCTTAAGTGATTTAACCAGAATTACACATTCTTCTTGTGTTAGAGGCAGGACTTGAACTCAGTTCTTCTTGACTACTAAAGCCTACTTTCTGTACACTCTTGCATGCCTCTCTAGAGTGCTAGAAAAGTACAAATAAAGTATTGTGTTAAGTATAAGGAGAAAAGGTAATTACTGACTGAGAAAGATTAAAGGAAGACTTCATGATGGTGATGTTTGAGGTAGGCTTGATGAATATTCAGTAGGCAGAAATGGCGAAAAATCCTAAGCATCAGAGAATAGTGAGGAACTTTTATAGAGTATAGCAAGTATAGAAGCTCTCACTTTACATAAATTTGCATTATGCAAATTCAACTTTATGTAAAGAATTTTGAAAGAAATCCACATTCCAGAAAAACACCTGTGTTTACTATACAGTGTTGTGCTCTCTTTTTCTGTTCTTGTTCCTTGAACTGTCTTTTTGTGGCCTCCCAACTCCCCCCCCCCCCAAAAAAACCAAAACCTCCAAGTGGAAGCAAGAGATAGGCAGGTAGACCACCACCACTGTCAGATTCAGTGCTTGGCTTCAGACCTCCAGTGCTAAGAGAAGAGACCTTGGCTTCATTCAGCCACCTACCCTGTGTTTGTACCCATGTGTCTGTCTTCTGTCCATACGTGCTTGGGTACCGTGTGTCTGTTCCCAGCCACTGTGTGATGCCCATCCTCTCCTGTCTGGGTCTGTGTTCAGCCTCAACATGTCTGGGTGCTGCACCCTGCCCCTGGCCCCACCATGTGTTCCTCCTTCTTTGTCCCCAGCCCCCATGTGTCCTTGGGCCCCCTTTTCCATGGATATGTAGCCCCCTTCTTGCCTCCATCTCTTCCCTGCATCTCTGGGCAAATTCATATTATGTAAAATCAGTTTACCTTGTCCACTTATGTAAAGAGAGAACTATCTGTAGTTCGTTTTGGTTAAAATAGTCCGTTTTGGTTAAAGTTAGGTCATATATAAATGGAAATAATATGATATAAATGGGAAAAGATAGGATAGCACAACATTGTGGAAGACCATAACTGTCAGGTTAAGAAATTTAAACTTAACAGGGTAGGCAGTAGGGAGATATTATAAGGTCTCAGGTTGTAAGTGTTTCTAAGATTATGATTAAAAGTTAAAAGCATTTAATTGGATTCAAGCTTATTCTGTTACTTTTGTAAAGTAAACAGAGGATTATTGTGACTGTATGTGGGACATGTTTACCTTTTTATGTACATTCTATGAGTAATAAGACATTGGATACTTTCTAGAATGCAAGCTCATGCCATACAATGATATGACTCTAACATAAGGAATTCCTTTAGCAATTTTAATGGTATAGGTAGGATAAAAATTGGGGCCCATCTTCCAAATTCTCTTTCACAGTGAACACTTGAAAATAGTTTCATTGCAACAATGTTACAACAAAAAGTATTCAGAAAAAATAAGTACTCTAACAGAAAAGTAAAACAAATATGGAAACTTGAAAGGTACAGTAAAACTGCATATCAACAGATGGAGTGGTTTCATGTGCACTACAATTCACTTTAAGAATTATGGTAAGGAGGGGGCAGCTAGGTGGCGCAGTGGAGAGAGCACCGGCCCTGAAGTCAAGAGTACCTGAGTTCAAATCCGGCCTCAGACCAAACACTTGACACTTACTGGCTGTGTGATCCTGGGCAAGTCACTTAAACCCCATCACCTTACCCCCCCCCAAAAAAAAAAAATTATGGTAAGGGGCAGGTAGGTGGCACAGTGGGTAGAGCACCGGCCCTGAAGTCAGGAGGATCTGAGTTCAAATCTGACCTCAGACCAAACACTTGACACTTACTAGCTGTGTGACCCTGGGCAAGTCACTTAACCCCAATTGCCTTAAAAAAAAAAAAAAATTATGGTGAGTGGGGTTTGGATCCAAGATGGTAGAGTAGTGGGAAGAAATACAGCCCACCTATTCTACCAAATCCTAGTTGGAAAATCTAAGAAAAAAAAATCACAGTGAATTGTTTTTGCAGTCCAGGACAGCATAGGGAGAAAAACAAGGTTGGTGGACCTAGGGGGTTGGATATAGAGTCTAGTCAGGAGTGCACCAAGTGGAGCATTTTGGCCATAGAAACTGAAAGAGGTCCAATGCTGAGCACTAGAGCTATCAAAGAATTCAAAAGAGAATGAACAGTTTGGCACCAGAGAAGCAAAACCACACTTCCCTGAAAATTAGAATGAACTAAACAAGCTAATGTCTTCATGAGACAACAAGAAATATTAAAAGATAGAAGAAAGCATAAAATATGTCATAGCAAAGACAACTGACCTGGAAAACTGATTGAGAAGAGATAATTTAAGAATCATTGGATTACCTAAAAGTCATGATAAAAAAGAAAGAGCCTAGGCATCATATTCAAGAAGTCATAAAAGAAAATTCCTCATATCTCTTAGAACCAGAGAGAAAAGTGGAAATAGAATCCTGACACACCAAAGTAAAAACTCCAAGGAATATTATAATTAAAATCCAGAGCTTCTAGATCAAAGGAAAAATGCTGCAAGCAAACTGAAAGAAAAAAATCAAGTACTGAGGAGGCCACCGTCGGGATCACACAAGATTTAGCTGCCACCACCTGTAAGGAGTGGAGAGTTTGGAATTAAGTCTTCCAGAAGGCAAAATATATAGGCTTAAAACAAAGAATAATTTATCCAGCAATACTGAGTATAATCATACAAGGAGAAGGTTGGAGCCTAATGAAACAGAAGACTTCCAAGCATTCCTGATGAAAAAACTCTAGAGCTGAGTAGAAACTTTGAAATATAAACTTAGAGGTCAAGAGAAACATAAAACAGTAAGGAGAAGAAACTATTCATAAGGCAATAAACAAGGAAAAACTGTTTACATTCTAACTTACATGTATCGTCAGGATCAAAAAAGGAGTCTAATTTGACAGAGGCCCTGGGATTAGTTCTGTTATGTTATGATGATCTTAAAAGAAGAAAGGAAAGACAGGGTAAGTGGAATACATTGTGGGGTAGGGGAGAGAAAAGGAAGAGAAAGGATGTTGTTTACAAGAAAGGCACTTGAAATAGAAAGATTCAAAGTTCAAAGAAGAAAATACAGTACAAATCTGTTATGCTTTAGCTGTAGGAAAAAAAAAGACAGGAGTAGTAAATCATGATCTTGGACAAAGCAACAGCAGAAGTAGGCTCAATTAAAAAAGATAAGCAAGAAAATTTCATTTTGATAGAAGGCACCATAGATATTGAATTAATATTAATACTAAATATATATGTACGAAATAGCCTAGTTATCTAAATACTTAAAGAAAATGTTGAATGAATTATAGAGAGAAATGGATCATAAAACTAATACTGGAGGACCACAATTTACCCCTCTCAGACTTAAGTCTAAAGAAAAACAGATCTGAAGATTCTAGGTAGAATTTTTAAAAAATTAGCTGTGATAAATCTCTGGAGATTATTAAATAGAAATAGAAAAAATACACATATTTCTCAGCTATGCATCACACTTTACAAACAAATTAAACATGTATAAGGGCATAAAAACTTTGTAAACAAATGCAGAAAAGTAGAAATTCTAAAGACATATGTTTTATGTTTGTGGGTTTGTTGTTTTTTTTTGTTTTGTTTTGTTGGGCAGTTGGGGTTAAGTGACTTGCCTAGGGTCACACAGCTAGTAAGTGTCAAGTGTTTGGTCTGAGGCCGGATTTGAACTCAGATACTCCTGACTTCAGGGCCAGTGCTCTATCCACTGCGCCACCTGGCTGACCCAAGGCATATGTTTTAAAGCATAATGCATTTAAACTATATTCATTAAAAAATTACTGAAGAAACAATTAAAATTAATTGGAGACTAAATAACAATCTTAAAGATCAGCAGATCAAAAAATCATATGAACATTAGTAATTTTATTAAAAATAATGACAGCAATATGACATATAACTAAAATATTTGGGATGCAGCAGAAGCAGTCCTTAGGAGAAATTTCTATATCTGAACAGTTTAATCAAGATAAAGAAACATTCAGTGAATTGATTATGTAACTAAAAAACCACAGAAAACCAATAAATTTAAAACTGCCATTAAGTATCAGAATAGAAATCTTGAAAAATCAAAGAAGAGATTGAAAATTGAAATAAAAACAACTGAATCAATAAATTTAGGAGCTGGCTTTTAAAAATCAGATAAACAGATATTTTAACAAAGAAAACCAAATTTGCAGTATCAGTAATGAAAAGGTTAAATTCAAAACAAATGAAAAAGAAATAAAAGAAATTATTAGGAACTATTTTCCCCATTTTTGTACCAGTAATAATTACAATCTAAATTAATTGGATCAACATACACAAAAATATTAAATGCCCAGATTAATAAAACAGAACATAGAAGATTTTTAAATAACCAACCTAGTGTTAGAAAAAGAAATTAAACAAACCATATACTCCAAAAGCAAAAGAATCCAGGACCAGATGGATTTACAAATGAATTCTACCAAACATTTCTTAAAAATTAATTCTAATACTATACAAACTGTTGAGAAAAATAGAGAAAGAAGGATTCCTAACAAATAACTTCTAGGATACAA